TTATGCTCTTCTCAGTTACAAGACATTATATTCTTGTTGAAAATGGTTATAAAGCGAATGGTTCTGCTTCGACACTTTTTCGGACAACATACAATCGTCCGACGTTGCTATTTTTCATTATATCAGTAACATAAAAAAAATTTCATATAAAAGAAAAGAAGTAAGGGACACATGATATTAGAAGAAAGAAGAGAGCACAACACAGTCATTTAATCGAAGTGAACTATTCCAAGCAATTTAGCTCGGGACAAGAAATTGTCTAGGAAAAAGGTAGCGAAGTATTCAATTTTTTTTTGCTTTCATGTTCTACTGACGTCATACTTGTGTGCGATTTTGTTGTTGTTGTTGTTGTCAACATGACGAAGCGATTCATCGTATTGCTGCAGGTATGTTGATTATTTCAGATCAACCTTTTGCAACCCAAAAGGATGAAGTGGAGATGTTTTCAACTATTTTATAATGGCAAGTGAGCGAATGTGCCACTGTCACAAATCAAATGTACATAAGAAGACGCATACAAAATATTCACGTAATTATTGGAGGAAAGAGTGAAAAGCACACACACACATGCATGCATGCACAGGAAGCGATATAAGAAAGCAGCTAGCATTCAAACTGCTCAGCTTCGGCAGAAATTGAAGAGGCGAATAGTACAAAAGCCACGCTAATAACAAGCAATATCTCTAAAAAGCTACCGTATTGCCATCCAACAAACCACCGTTCACCACTGTTTCACTTTAATATGACGGAACATCATTCCGTGTCTGCATATATGACTCACCGTTCAAAGATGGATTGAACGAATGAAAGAGAGAAAAAGCATTTATCTACGGTACAGTTCGTTAATTGTTGATTTGCGTGTTCGCTTTTCTTCAATCCACATATATATCCATTCATATAGCCCACATCATACATCTATATCGCACATAAAATGCATGCTGCATTATTACCATTTTTCATCGCCTCATGTGCTTCTTTACTTCTTTTTACGTATTTCTTTCTTTCTTCCACTCACGCTCTCTATCTCTTTCACTCTCTTTTATAAATAGTTCGTTATTTGAATGTAGATAAAACAAAGTCACTGTTCCAAGCATACGAATGAGTCAGATTTCGGAAGGAGAAAATTTGTTTGCATTCAAACGGGAATTCATTTCAAGAATGGCAACAAAGAAACAGCCATCCACCAATGAAATTACCATCATACAATATGTACAATCGCAAAGCTGATTAACGGAAAACTGCTTTTCTCTTCGATTTCCTTAATTTTTTGTGTGCCATTTTCTTTTGTCCAGATTTTTATCGTTCATTGTGCTTTTACCATATCGATAATGAACTACATATATATCACTTTGTTTCACAGTTTAGTACAAAAGGGCATTGCTTTTTTTATGAATTATCGTACATGTATTATAAAAAATGAACCTTCTGGAATGTGCTGCAAAACGCTCTAATAACCATTTCAACACAATTTTTTCTTCTTTCTCTCGCCCGATTGCTTTTTACTGCGTTTTCCAATGCCGAACCGATTCCATCTTTTTTAAGAGGGTGGGAGTGGCGGCGAAAGCGGGACAAAGAGAAAAAAGAGCAAGAAACTATAAGTGAATCCGTTCTTGGTACTAACTCTATGCTCGCTCTGATTTTATATGTGTAATCGAATTTGAAACGGGAAAAAATCCAGTTTTAGTGCTGAACTCTTTTTTTTCTGATTACAACATTCGTTATTATTTTCGTGTGTAACAGTGAATACAACACACATACATACTAATCCCACGATAACCACCATAATTTTCTTTATTTATGGTGATTGTTCGTGCTATTTTGCAATCGACCAGATCATAAACTGATACAGTTAATGAGGTACTGCAATGCAAAATCAGCCAAACTCTGTCGAAACGATGATAGTTTTTAGATTGGCGCTTTCAACAACAGAAACAAAATCCAATGTTGTTCAAATTGATTCTTGCATCACCCAGCTGCAAAAAAAGGATCTATGCATTCGACCTGATTCGTCTGTTATTTTTTTGAAGCAATACTAAAATCATTGTTAAACAAGTTAGTGTTAACCGTATTTTTTTGCATGTTGTGCTTTTTTGGTTCCCTTATTCTCTTTATCTCTTTTTCGTCAAATCGATGAAGCGGCAACAAGGCACACCAACATTTTTGTTTCATGCACAATTTGATGGTGTTGCGAATGGGCGAAAAATCAGCCATCATTCATGGAATGTATTTTATGGAACGGTTGTGACATGGGTTTTATTGTGTATTTTCATGTGCCGTCTTTTTGTTTTCCATTCGCTGTATAAAATGTATGACAAAAATATTTATCAGCCTCACATCGTCATTCGTCACCAGCAGTCACAACTCGAATACACAAACACACATCGTATAAGATGAATCTAACCCAATATGTATACATTGTACATGGCTCAAGTGTATGTACGTCAATGTGCGAATAAATAAGTGTGAGAGTGCAAAATATGCTCGAGTCGAGTATTTTATTTTATTTTCAATGTGCTGAGAGATTCATATATAGCGCTAAGCACACACCAACGGTTTGAAATCCGCACACGTAATAATGATTGTATTTCAAGTACCATTCGGTGCACTCACATCTCTCTAATTCGTTATTTAGTGCAAATATACTCTATTCTCACTTTTCACACAAACACATACACTCACATTGGGTATATATTTGATGTGTGTGTTGTTGTAAAATCTTGGTAATTAGAACATAGCTAAGTGCAAACAAAAAGGCGAAAATACATTTTCCAAATTGTTTTCGCCAGAATGCCAAAATTTTGCACAAACACTGAGCTCATGCTGCGATTGCTGAAGGATCAGAAATTTGAATATCACACCATCCAATGCCCAATGGCAAAATAATATTGGATTGTAATGCATAGGATAGTGATTGCTTCGCGCTGAATAAAAGAAAATAAACTATGATCGAAAATGATAAAGGAGAACAACACATGCACGATATGATATGGCGAAAATGGAATTGATGGTGTTGGGACGCAACGATAAATTTACCATCGAATAGATGACGATGATAAAAGAGGGTAAAAGAAATGAGAGAAAAACCGTGAGAGAGGAAGATAGATAAAACGGAGTTTACATGCAAAGCAGCAAAACGTCACGATGGATATTAAAATGAGAAAAGTGTGACGATATGTGATACAAATATCATTTGCACAAATTGAATGACTTCACTTGAGAATGTATTATATACATGGTGAACGTATTTATCCTCGTACCCGCTTTCGTCGCTGGATTGTGGTATATGCATATTAAATAAAATGTGTCACACGATAATTCTGCTTCGATTGGCATCGATGAGTTTTCAAACCTAATAATTTATAGCGATTGTCATTCGAGTGTTTTTTCAAATGGAAAATTTCATATTGGAATTATCTGTTGTGCTAACAATGTACATAAATCAGTCTAACCAGATCCAATTGGATGTGTCTTTGCGACACCGAGTGAGAGTGCACACATTGCGAAAACAATACAAAGTACTTTTTACGCTGAGCTATAATGCATTGACATATATATAACATGTCAAATTGAACTTAAAATGTGGATAGCAATAAAAACCTTTTCAGTCCCAGATCCTAGCTCCGAATATCCCATATCCAACACATAAACATACACTCTCGCTTTGCCACTCTGCATTCAACAGAAGTAGCTAATGGATTCCAAAAATACTTTGTACGTTCCCAGTTCTTCTAATATTTAACTTTGTAAAATAATTTTCATTTACTCACTGTGCATCATGTGACTCATTCATTTATTCATCTATTTGGAATATTATTATTTTCTATATTTTAATAGTTTGTAGTAACTTTTAATCTCTCTGACTTACACACAAGCTCCCGTTCGCTAACTTATTTTCGCCGATATAAAGGGAACATAGATGATGACATAAAAAATTTTAAATTCCATAGGGGGTCCCTGCAAAAATCCATGGGGGTCCCTGACGAAGTCAACAATTTGTCGGAGATGAGGATAAAATCGTTTTTTTTTCTCTTCATTTTTTTGACAAAAGTCCCTAGCAAATCATAGGTGATGACGAGGATTCCTAGGGGTCGGATGACCCTTTTTAAGAACCCTCAACAATTTTGGAAATGAGTAACTTTTTTTTTGCTCTTCACTTTTTTTTGCCCAGAAAATTCTTTCGATTTGCTAGGGATTTTCATCTCAAAAAGTGACTTCCAAAAAAAACGATTTTATCCTCATTTCGTACAAATTGTTGACATCGTCAGGGACCCCCCATGGATTTTTCCAGGAACCCCCTACAGAATTTTGCCATCACCCCCCCTAAAAATGTTTACGTCATCATCTATGCTGACAAATCGAAAGAATTTTCTCGGCCAAAAAACGTGAAGAGCAAAAAAAAAGTTCCTCATTTCCAAAATTGTTGAGGGTTCCTAAAAATATTTTAGAGGGGGGTAAACCGAACCCTACGAACCCTCGTCATCATGTAAAGGGAAATTCATTAGTAATTAAACAAGGCGCCCACTTTCAAATCAAGCTCAGTCTCGACTCTGTCTGTAAATTAAACATTTCATGCTTTCTCTATCGGTCATAACACGTGTAAAACGCGTTACAACAACCATCGTGTTGACACATTCTGACGCTTTGGTGTTTTTCTGAATATTTTCACACGAAAAATAAATAAATAAATAATTCACACGCAATCCTTTCGTCTAATGCAAAATTCAAATCATCGCATTTTTAATGGTCGTATACACACCACTTTTCATTTCGTGACGCTCACCAGCAAACATTTTTTTTTTTGTTTTTTTCAAAAATAGCAACAATTTTGTGTGTAAGTTTGACATAGTTTTTAGAAAACGATAATAGCGTATGGGCGTGTATAAAGTGCAAACGGCTAAAAATAAAGCTAAAACAATACAAAAGAGAGTTAAATTGTGTTCTTTCAATCTGGCCATTTAAAATGGCATATATAATGCAACATTTAAAATTAAAGTAAACGATAAAATGAAACCATGTCTTTAATATTGACCACTTTATTTTTTGTGATTGGCTATATCGATTTGAGTGCATTCACAGTAGTTTTCTTTTGTACAATCTCCATTGTTCTAGCATTCTTAACAATAATAGTCTTGAGTGATAAAAATAGAACATTTACTAAATTCAAATAGTTTGCATTTTCTTCACATTTCCATATCCACAAATGTAGAAGAAAATGATAATCTTACAATAAAATTAGATGTATGAATATACAAACAGTTTGAATTTTGCCTATCATATTTACTTCATTTACATATAAATAAATAGATAACACAACATAGCTAGTTTGTGTAGTTTCTCAATCACTGCATATTTAACATTTACAATGGTTATTGCCCTACATTTGAATGTGCCATTCATGACTTCTGCACAGCATTTAATGTCACTTGATCCTGTAAATTGAACTGAACTGTGTACAACACTGTATTTAAAACTAAAACGCAATTTTATCTAAATGATGGATTTATGAATATTTTAACTGGATCCTGCAAGAGAAGAGATAAGCACATCATTAGTAACATTTCACAAATTTCCACATTTACGTGGTTATGCGGTCAAACCGCAATTCAATTAAATCATAAGGTGTAAAGAAATTAACATGCTTAAATAATCGCATAGTCAAAATAAGCATATTATGACAGTTTTACAGACCTTTTTAAGATGTGATTTAATTCTGATTATTTGCATCCAAATTCTAATCCTTTTTCAAAAGGTAGCGGTTGGTCATCGAGTAAATCAAACCCAAACACAAAGCTGGTCATAAAAAATGGACATATTTTTAGTTTTTTGATTTGTTTAAATTCGAGAGTTGCATTTCAAATTACCTCCAACGACCGTTCCTTGAGCAGCAACACGCAATTGCATCAAATAAACGCTGGTTGTTACTTTTCCACGGTTTTTATAGTTGTATGCACCCAAAGCAGCAACCCCAAGAAATCCGGCAATTCCTTTAAAATGAATGAAAAAGCATGAATGAAAAGGTTCGGCAATTATTTATAGATTGACGAGAATCGGGAAGTGAATTGTAGTATTAATTCAAACAAACAAGTGCTTTGTTCGAGTATAACTGCATTGTAAAGGAGGAAAAGAGACAAAAATAGATGCACATGGCCGCCGTACCAAATGTAGAATGTGATGAGGTACACCAGAGCATGTGACCTTGGTCATGAAAATCACTGAAAATTACGCATCATTTTCACAGAAAATTCATTGCATTATAATTACCAATGGATTATTATTGAGGGAAAAAAATGATGATTACGTGATAAGTAAATACGGTTTGGTCACAGCTGATGCAATAAACCGTTAATCTGATGTAATTTATACAATCGTTTTATCAGTTTGCACCTCATCGTGAAAATGCCACCATAAAATTGATGAAGTAACTAAATTGAGATAGACGAAAATCACTTTCGATCAATGGAAAATTACTTGGTCATCATTTTTGACGACAGTCGATGGAATTGGTATTTCAATTAACATTATGCGACTATGCGAATGAGTGGCTACCGAATGCAAACAAATGAAGAAAAAAACTGCTTGACGACAAAAATTTACAAAAAACTTATTCAAATTGGATCAAATTGGACATTTCATTGCTTCAAATACTAAATAAAATCACAATTTAAAGAACGCAATTATTCATTACTGTAAAGTACAGTTGTATATATACGATTTTTCTATATAAATTGTTTGCCGTCACGCTTTAAGATTGCTGCGCGATTTTTTCGATAAAAATTTGTTTCATAACATAAGATGTATTAAATTCGATTTATGTAATTATTACCTATCGGTACAAATGGTGAATCCTTCGATTTTTGGATCAATTTACTAGCTTGACCTTCCGATTCATATTCCGAGAAGTCGACTTTTTGATTCGACATTTTTAAGTTTGGATTTTTTCCCTTAAACTTTTACCAAAAAACTAAATTATGTCAAGGTATTTATATAATTTCTTTTTTGTCACGTTTTTACCACTGACGTTTTAATACAAACAATTTCTTTTTTCAATGAAACAATTTTAACAATCACGAAATTCGAGCGATTCTATGCACAACCCGTGTCGTTTACGATGTAGATTTGTTAAGTAATGATGATTTCTCGCATTCTCTGTTCAAGTTCAGAACTGACAAGATCGAAGGAGAATTGTTACACGTGAAGAGAGCGAGAGCGAGCGAGTAAAAATCATGTTCACTTACGTCATATATATACATATTATAGAATAAGCTATGCGCATGTTATATTGTGTGCCTAACACAAAGGCCGAAACGTCAAACACTAAAACGGGGAAGCCCGAATGTGTCAAACGTTGCTCTTTTCGTTCCGGCGGTTCGTTTAAAAGTTAACAAGTTCAGAATGTGTCAGAATATATTTACATTTTTATGTTTGAATAGTGTTCAATGTTATGTGAAAAACTTGTACCGAAAATTGACGAATTTTATTCGAGGATTACTGTAAACTTTTCTCAGAATGAATGTGAATTGTTCGAGGTTTTTTTTTTATCCATTGTTCCATTTAAATTGTTTGCATGGGATTCATGGTGTTGCTTTTGTACATTTTATATTCTCGGGGTGTTATGTGGTTTTGTTGAGTACTTTACTTCAAAAAGTTAAATTCCCTTGGGATGTTTTCTTATTTTTTCGTTGATGAATACATTCTATGAGACGGTGTAAAATTGTATTTAAATCGATATAGTTACACGTAGTGACGTCAATTATCCAACATAAAATGCAATAATAGATATAATTTCATGCGTTTAAAAAGTGGCAATTTTAGTTTTAAAATTAATTTAATTTACACGGTGTTGAAATGCATCAAGAAATTGCAAGTGGTAGATAGTAAAAAGAACTTGGAATCGTGTGAACTGTTTTGTGTATGTACAGCAGCTTGTGTCCATGCTCATTAAACATTCTTGATAAATTAAATTTGAAGCGATGAAATCAAATAGTGCATAAGCGATAAAGAAAACTTTGTCGGCAACCAATTTTCCAACATGAAGCCATGGACAAACTTTTTGCGAGAGAGTTGTGTATATGTGTGTGTATGACTGTGTACTTGTCTGTATGTAAATTTACAGTTCACACACAAAAAAATGAGTTTATCATGAGTTTATCATTGGCTTCTTGGTAATGTTATTCTTAAAATTCTCGAATTTCATTTGATAATGTTTGTACGAAAAACAAAAACTTTTTGAGAATGGCTTGTCATTTTACCATTTGCACTGGCAATTATTGTGTTTTGCAACATGATTTTCCTTTCTGTTAAATATGGAAAAATTCTGCTATTTTAATTGTACGTTCTGGTGGTTTTCAAACTCATACTGATGGACCATTCAATCAATGCGATGGAAATTATTGTGTTTTATAAGATATTCTCATTCTTCTTCTTCTTTTTGTGTGTTCTACGTTACAGACGCTAATTATTCGCTAATGTCATTTAGGTAAGATTTTTCAATTATATATCCTTTAGCTCCGATGTGTTGTTTTATGTGATTTATGTGATTTTATTTTATTACCAATAGCTATTGGTTTTCATACCCGCCTCCAGGCGCGAGCGGATCAGCAAGTAAGTCTTCATCATTTACCAAAATTCTATTTACTTTTCCATTGTTTTATTCTATTATTATCATTAACTTTTGTTGATCTTGTTTATTTTCTTTTTAAACAAATAATCTTGACATTGTATTGGTATCGCTTTTATTTTACATTTGAACACACTGTTGCTATCGTTGTTGCTGTTGTTGTTGTTGTTGTTGTCTGTGTAATTTGTTGTATAAAATAAAATAAAATCGTAAAACAGCTTTATGGAGATCGGCCATCAAAGTAATTTTAAAACTTTATACCAGTTCACCTATATACTCGTATAATTTATAAAATTTACTACGCTTGCTTGTAACATGTAAACTGTTTTTTGGATAAATCTTCACGGTAGATCCGATTCGATTTCCATTTGTCTTTGTATTTTTAATCTCTTCCAAGTAGTTGATATGAAGTTTGCAATGCAAATGCAATTTATTCACAATGTTTTAAGGTGGAAAATTTGCACGGTATTGCATAAGATAATTACGAATCGGAATCTCTGTTGAGATGAACCAACAAAAGCGCTGATTTATTTTGATATTTGAGTTTTGTCATTGTTTGTGTTTTTGTTAGTACTCGTTCTGATTCTTGTGTGTGTAATGTATAAACATGATTATGTTAAGAAATAAAAACTTTTATTGTATTCAACTAATTGTTGCTTCTGTTCATGGTTTTTTGCTGTGTTAATGGTTGCGCTGCAATTTTGTTTTGTTTTGTTTTGTTTTAATGTGTTTTGAGTGTGCATATGTTGCTCCGTCTCAATAATATAAATGATGTACACGTCGTATGAAACAAAGTTATCTTTGAGTGGAAAATGAAATAATTTTATTGAGTCATATATTGCTGGTAACATATAAAATATCACAACAATTTACGAACGTATTCGATTTTTTTTTGCGTAATAAATCCACTTGAAAGTGCAATTCACGTCGGAAATTTGCTGAAAAAGCGATTACATTCACAAACGATGTAATTCGAAATGTCTGTCAAGTGAATCAGCATAATCTTTAATTTATGAATGAAATCCTTTCGATTGTGTAACATCGTAACATGGACTGCACATCCTATTCATTGCGTTCATATAATGAACAATCGAGGAAAAAAAGAGAAATACATTCTATTACAATGCTCTCGAATTCGCTCGTTTGTGCTCACTTTTACTCATACTAGAAAAACTGAGGGCATTAACGACACAAAAGCATCAAATACACACACACACATATATAGATTATGTTGTTAGGTATTCGGAGATTGATGTTCGTGCTTTTGTACTTTATATCCTCAAACAGATTTGTGCTGTGCGAAGTGAGAGCGGCTGATCTCTTCGTGTAACAGTTTCATATTTCTCGTCATTCTCATCCATTTTCCATTCATAGCGCATTGTCTGATAGAATTCAATGTTCGCTCATGAAAATTGCATTACCTCAATATATAACAATTTTGGAGGAGAAAAAAAAACGACAAAAGAGCAGAGAATTTAATTGAATGTTATAGTCGACGAGATAGTTTCCGTTTTATTATTAGCTGGATTTTTATGTGCTTTTGCTCTTTATCGGCACATTTTACCGTTTTTTATTCTGTTTTCGGTGTTAGTGTGTGTGTGTGTGTGTTAGTTCCATATTGAAATGACTTCAAGCAAGCGAAAACTAATTTTTTCGAGATTTTTCTGTGCTATTATTAAAATTGATTAGGCAAAAATTCGGCACAAACGGACGAAGAAAAACAACGAGAAAGACAACGTAACGAACAGCGTAACGAACGTGAGATTAAACACGCAGAACTTGAAGCTCAGCACTTGAAGGTAATGACAAACATACTCTTTTTTGTTTCACATGTGTTTATGGTTTATTTTCGGATTGTAACAAGAGAAACTGATTTTCAATTTGTTTTTTTTTTTTTTTGTGTTCACATTCACTGTGAATGTGCAGAGAGAGCGTGAGGCACGCGAAGCCCGTTTATTAGATCGAGAGATTCGAGCGCAGGAGCGACACAATCAGTCTGAGCTGAAAAAACATAAAGAAGCTGCTGCCCACGCTGCTGAACTACAAAAGCACGCAACACAAGTGCACACACAATTAGGCCAGTTACAAAAACACATCCCACCAGGTACACCACTTCAGACTCCACGATCACCACGCGAATCACTTGACAAAACCGATAGTAAAGGTAATCGATCACATCACGACTATAAGGGAAAAAGTGAAGCGCTGGCGACTACAAGTGCATCCGTATCTTCAACTGTAAGTTTTACCATGTTTTTTGTTACATCAATTAGTTTTTTTTTTCATAATTTCATTGAATTTGGAAGGAACCAAAGAGCCACTCATCACACGGTGGTCAAACACCAAGCATAGCTGCTGTGGCTGGACATTCGACAGTCCCATTGGCAGCACTAGCAACCGTGGCACCAATATTACCATTTGGCATAACGACACTGCGCGATGATTCTACGGAAAGTGATCAATCTTTGATCGGGTCGCAGCCACCACAACAGGATTTGCAACGTTTTTTGTAAGTATAACACAAATTTGACACTACAAAAAAAAAATCATTAACAACGTTTTCAATTTATCGAACAAAAGATGAAAAATGAAAGGGAGAGAAAAAGTGGAGGAAAGAGACTACGAAACTCTTTGCATTCAAATCAATTATGTAGTGAGTTTGAAAAGTCATCGAAGTAAACGCCACCGTTCGTTGAAAGAACAATGTAAAGTTTTTTTGATTGATTTGTGAAACGTGAACGTGAACTAGTTACGAAGAGAATTAAGTGATTAATGGAAAAGTAAAATGTGTGAGAATGGCAAACTTTCCATTTTTTTGCTTTCTTACAATTAAACGTTTCGTCGTCTAACGGCGAAAAGTAGCCAGAGGTAGAAGAAAAAAAACAAAATCGTTTAATTTCCATATCGTCGAAGTTTTGCGTCGACTTTGTCTTGCATTTAATTAAGTATCTTGTGTTTTTTCCGCTTAAGTTCTTCATTACACCCTTTCCGAATAAATTGTGTTCATATCTGCTTTGAAATTGCTTGCCAAACTATTTTGAATTCTCAACAAAAGGAGAAATTATAATTCGAAAGTTTCATCTGATGCTTTTGTTTCGGATTTTATTCATGCAATCAAGTTAGCAGTATATATAGTTTTTTTCCCTTCTTATCGGCATGGCAAAGTGACATTTGATCTTTATAACAAACCCCTTCGCATTTACAGCACGAGAATAGAACACGTGCAATGCACGCATACTATGTTCGATCCGCACACAATGTGTACATAACCAGAAGCATATTCACTGGTGTCCTGTGTATTAACAGCAGGTACCTTTACATCAAACACTATGCGCTCAATCCATTCTTAATTAACACCTCTGTGCATCGTTCTGCGATTATGCCGTACAAATGGAAAGGAAGCATGATTTCATTGCATACAAATAGCCGATGACGATGACGTTTTGTTTTTGTTTGTATGTATTTTATGTACGTTTCACGTGCGCGACGTTTTCAAACCGTATACAAATACATTTATGAATTCCGGCACATGTTATTTTGCTTGTATTCGCACCACGTTTTATTTTATGTTGTATGTGTGTGTCGCAAAGCACATGCTATTGTGCGGCCTTTTCACCGCAACCCAAACATCAACGCGCAAGAATAAAAGAGACAACTGTCTGGTGATATTTGACATGGCGCAAAAATAAATTCTCGTCTATTATATAGGCGCAATGCAGTCTTTTTCCCAAGCGTTCTGACACTTTTTCTTTGGAAACTTTTCGACAAATTCGTTGCATTCGAAACCATTGTAATCGAGTCACTGGTAAAATAGTCTTATCTCATTTCATTTGCTTTGACCGCAGTTACATCACATTGATGGAATTACCATTGAATAATACTCGGGGACATTTGTACTTGGTTTCTATTTCGAGGCTAAACATTCATTTGAATAAACTAATCCAAAGACATGCACACTTTACAACTTCCTCGATAAAGTTCTGGCAACAGGAAATGTGGGTGTCATCTAACTACTACCGCAATTAGACATAAGTTATGTCTGAGACATAACAAACCAAAAATTATTATATGATCACTTTATCATCTAGATATGAATGTCATTCAAATTGCATTCACTTTGTAATGTGCAGCTCTCGCCTCCCTTTAGATGTGCTCAAAGGAATTTTGCTTATTTATTTGTTTAGCCGTATTTCATTGTTTTTATTCGAGGTTTGCATGAATTAAATTTCGACGTCATGAGGAGCAGCAAAATAGCTCAGATTGAATTTCAAATTTTCGCTGGAAAAATAAATCAAAACGATTTACAGCCAGTTTAATCTGACTAAATATCTGAAAAAGGTCATTGATGATGAGACTGAACTGAAACGTTCCATCATATGTGCTCTAGATTTTTTTTTGAACATCATCATCAATTGAATCGAAATAATTTCGAAAGTATGCATGTCTGTCTCAGAATGCATCGCATGACGATGATCTACGATGTACAAACATTTCAAATTTATTTGGTTCGATTAAGTTAAAAATAAGAACATCGCATACAAAAAGCGGCGTAAATATCTAATATATACAGCAAGAAAACGAAAAAAAAAAGTGAACAAAAAATACATGATCTAATAATAATACAGACGAGTATAGATAATGCGCGGGGCTGAGATGGAGAAAATGCGGCAACAACAAAAGCCAAATGCTGTTAATATGAAAAATGCCGTGAATGTGAGGAAAACATATGTGCGAAGCAAAATACGCGCAGCAAACAACAAAACGGTTTTCAGCGTGCGAAACAACACATTGACATCCATGTGTATATATAGCTATTAAAAAAATAAGAAGAATTGAGTGCGAGAAATAGAGTGTACACAGTGTGTACCATGCCGTGTCCGTGCATGCATTCTCGAGAAATTCAAGCGTCGTCGTTGTCGTCGTTGCTATTTTTGTGTGTGTACAGTTGAGAGTGTGCAGAAATGGGATAGTAAATAGACGGACATGAATTTTCCTAGCGTTTAGTTTTACTGCAACATTTGAATCGTCGAAAGGCGAAATAGAATTCGCGTTTATTGTTTGTAAGAACGCGTGCTGTTTTGGCTATTGCCAAACGCGCACTCGAATTAATTCGGTTTCGATAGTTCGGTGAATTTATTTTTCGTTCTCTCTTTATATCGCACGATATTAATTTTTATTTAAACTGCCGCGGGGAATACAACAATCAATTCAATTTGTGGGCGAAAAAAAGCAAACACAAATTCAACCAAACGAATTCAATTCAAGCCAATGTAAAACCAAATACAAAAAATAGTCAAATTAATTTAAAATAAAAACTCTCACAGAGAGATCACAAAGAGCAATCGGATAAATTTGCCCGAAATAATACTCTTTAGTGGCCACAGCAGTGCATGACATTCATTTATTATTTTCATTCCAACTGTGTGTATTTTTATTCCGTTTCGCTTCTCAGACGGATTTCGAGTCGACAGAATATTAGCACACATTTATAACGGCAAAAATACAAAAAATACACGAGACCAAGTGACATTAACGAACGAGAGCAACAGAATATAATACAACGAAAAAGAAAAACATTCCAACAAAATAAACAAATTGAATGGAATTAAAAGAGAAAAACCAACGAAAAAAAAAACTTCACCCAAACCAAAATATTGTGCTAGTCGTTTGTTTGCAAAGTGAATTGAATGAAATTTAGTGTGTTGGACATTTGATAATTTTTTAACATTTCTCAGTTTGTTTGTTTTTTCTACTGATAATATATGCAAATAGACTGAGAGTACAACAGAGCAGATTCTTTTTATTCTTCCTAATTAGTTGAGCTAATTTATTTGTGCCCAAACATTATTTTATCATGGTTTGTTAGTGATTGTTTAGGTTTTTCATTTGCCTAATGCGATACCGCAGCACAATCATCTTGATGAAAAAAGAGAAAAAAATACAAATGATTCGGCGAACCATATACCTATATTCGTAATTACATTTCGTGCGGTACTGATATCATTTGGAAACGGAATGGCACATTCAATAAATAACAGCATGCTAAACTTCTCATTCCCTTAAATTAAATTTAAATTGGTTTTGATTCTGACAAAGGAGCAAGACCTTTGTTATTTTTTCTGCTGCTGCTGCTTTTGAAAGCTGTGTAACTGAATGGCAAAAAATTACATTGAATTGCCTAGTGGCCGTTGCTGTCAACGTCATCGTCGTCTTGCTCGTGTTCGCATGGAACACTTTATGCTACTATTGGTTGTGTTCTCATTGAAGAAATCGGGTTGGTAACACAACACAAATGTGCCCCAAACAAACCAAACTCATTCATAAAAAAATCATTTCAGATTAACTAAATAAAAAGAGGAAATTTGAATCAGTGTACATCATGCAATGAAAAATGAGCATAATTTCTGTGGCGGACAAATCTAAACGTGTGTGTGTGTGTTTGTATCGGCAAATCAAATTTTATGTTTGCGTGATACGGTATATTTCTGTTCTGTACATTAGTACAATATAACGACAATCCATTTCACCACCCATAACCGGGGTTTTCCTGCACCTTTAACAATACACCCGAGTATTGATAGTTCATGTGTATTTTTATTCAAATTAGAAAAAATGCAAATTCAAGCATTTTAGCATTTCAATTTCAACGATTTTATGATTCAGTAGAGAGAGAGAGAGGAAAAAAAATTCAAAGCCACAAGGTATTTCAAAAAGAAAAATATGACACGATGGCGACGATGGCACGGTGAGAAACAGTTGGAACGTGCCAAAATAAATGAATTAATGACGCGAATTAAAACGAACACACAATTCTCTGTCTCTTATGTAATTATAATAAATGTCTACACCAGTGAAAAATGATTATGGCTACGAAATGAAATATAGATAGACAATTTATATGTATGCAAAAGTTAGAAATGAGTGAAACGTAAAAAAATAATAATATTGTATGAGGTCATCTACTATAAATAAAATGTAGCCAAATGAATAGCCTGTGAAAATGTGTGAAAATTTGGAAAATGATAGATGAGAGATTGATGTCAACCAAATCCAAACACCAAAACCAAATGGTTATCGATTCAATTTAAATGAATGTGGAATACATGGTTGCTTTTTATATCATACGATCATTTATCAAAAAGTAAAGAAAAGCCAACGAGAAAAAGTAACCGCATAAAGTAAAACCGTATTAAAAAAACGTACACATACCAGAAAAAAAACAGTCATGGAACCAACGAAAATTAATGGATTTTTTTTCCATTCACATGTGCACAGTGCACAGTAGGGCATAAATGAGGTAAAAGATAAAACGAGGACAACAGAAATTCTCAGTGTTCAGTTAACTAATTTACTTGATTTATTTCGCTCTTGGTGAATTTGCTCCGCATTGAAATTGTAATCCACTTGTATCTTATGTTCTGCATAAACGAGTCAAATGGGACTCGCTGATGTTGTTTTTTTTTGTTCCAACTCGGTCCTATGACAACACCAAAATCATTTGGTTGGCGTGTGTTCTTTTTACCTCAATGTTACTTCGCATTCACAGCCAAAATTCTGCTTTCCATTGGCAATGCCAACCATGCAGCATAAACACATATCGTCGTTCAGTTCTATATTTTCCAAAACGCGAAGCGGACACGGACAAAAAGCGAACAAGACAGAGAAAACAAATACACGCGGAGTGTGCAGAAGCACTTTACCACTTTCGACACTGCAGTGGAAATACAGCAATGCATACATAAAGAATCGCATTGCATAATCAAATCGAGCACCGCTCCGATGCATATGCGTACATATAGATACATGGGTATCGCATCGCTCGTGTCGAATCACATGTTTGTTCAATATGACAAAAAAACACACACTTTTCTCTTATAATTTTTCCCAGACGAAATGCCTCTGAATATCAAATCCAAGTCAATATTGAGAGTGAATGAGAAAAAATTTGCGATGAAAAAAGAGTACGATGGGAAAAGAGGCAGAAAGAAATCAACTGAATGAAGCGTAAAAACTAAACGAAACCATTGATTTGAAAACACAGTTTTCGTGCCGCAAATAACCATAATTTATTTACCATTTGCATACTTTTCGCTATATTCGAGTGAATGTATATGTATATGCACCACTTTTTTTCGTGAATGTTTGCGCTACTTTCGGTGCTGTAAAATTCAATTCAAGATATTTTCATGTATATAAACTATAATAGTAATAATCGGTTTATGACGGAAGCAATTGAGCCACTTAAATGCGAAGAAAATCTGCTACATCGAATAACACTTGTGATGAACCAATATATAAATCGATGAAATAGGAAATCCCCGACTTTCGGCACAATTCAAATATTCCCTTCTTCGGATCGAGTGCATAATATATACATTCTCCAATATTCTCTCTCTATGTGTGTATAAATACATATATCTGAACTAAGGTCAATTTAGCAAAGAGTCGCACTGTTATTCTGGCATTTGACTTACTCAAAATGGCATGCAATAAAATTGAACCAGCAAATATTTGAAGGTGTAATTTTTAGAAAAGCATTTTACTCGATTTTTCTCTACTCAATTTCAATATTTTTCGATTCGTACCATTTTCCGCACCATCCAAAGTTAATTTCAATCAGATTTGTTTTGTGTTGGATCTGGTGGTGCCAAGTAAATTTAAATTTTATACATCACCGAATTTGCTTCGAATGTGTTTACATTGGTGAAAGAGAAAACATATTGTCGATGGTTATGATCGAATTTTTTGGGCGTTTTCCATTTGAATAATTCAGAGGAATCAATAGCAAAAGCAATTTGTATTTTTGTTTTATTTGAAATTCACATCAATTTTTGACGTTTTTAGATTGTTTTTTTCACTCTCTCTCTCTCCACTCACTTGACCTGCATTAATGCATATTTAAACAGACGATTTATATTTCATTTCTCTTTGGTGCTAACGTTGGCAGAAATGAAAATCATACGGCAATACATACAAAAAACTTTTGATAAGCGAAAACTTTGCCAAAAAAAAGATTAAGGCAAACGTCATAAATATACTGTAATGATTTTTAAAAAACATTTTTAAGTAGCTAGAGAAAAAACGGAAACGGTGCAATTTTGAATGAAATAGTTCTGAAAGTTTAACGTTGCAGTACAAGAAATGCACCCTCCTGTGTAATGAATAATATTAAACGATGTGCTTTTTATGACCGTTTTTATGCGATATATATACATAAACCGAAATTTTTTATGGTTCGTTCTCTTATCGTTGTAGTTTGAGTTGAACTTGTTTGCCCAAAAAAAAGTCCATTTAATTACTTTGCCCTCGTTAAATAATAATAATTTTATGTAAAACGGGTAAAATTGAATTTCACGCAATTCCCTTCCGTGTCTACAGCTCGGGGAATCTCTTTTCGCCCAATTATATGGCATAACTTTTAAAGACATAAAATTGCTTAATAGCATAGGGCCAACGCTGGATGTGTGTGTGTGCTCGTGTATGGTTTATCTAACGAAATTGTGTTAGATTAATAATTTTAAGCACCACTAGAAATGGCACATATCGAAAGATTGGATGTACAGTACCTAAGAATTCACTCAAGAGCAATACTCCTGTCGAATATATTTTCGGTCGAAATGATGCATTTGACTGCACAATGGAGCATTTAGAAAACTATTTTATTACACACATATCTGGGTTTTATGAGTCACAAACATACAACAATCTCAGTTTGATACTTTATTTTGGGAACGGTTCATCGAGCTCACAATTTCAGCTCTCATCATTATTTTCAGTTGAATGAAGATTGTCATTAGCTTTGTCATTTTAATGAAATGCACCACTACATCGGATGGTGATTTCATATAAAATCGATGCAATCGATAAGTGCTTTTTGCAGTGATACGTCAATAAAGCATAACAGGCCATATCTCTATGGAAAAAGATCTTACTATTTCGGAAGGTTCATCCCACGTGGGATACATACTGTTTGCTAATAAATTGCGATTCGATTCAAATAAGCCAACGTGGTACATCGATGGCATTTATAGCCGAAACATTGTCCTGTTCATTGTTCATTTGGCATGTCCCACTTGGCTAAGCTCAGCTGCTATTTGCTATTATAATGAAAAAGGCCAATGATAAGGATTTAAAGTTTGTCCAAATACCTTCCTAACATTCACAATGAACTCACCCAAATGAGATATGCCTCTGAAAAGGCTACCTAACAATGTCTGTTTGCCCACCCGAATCAATCAACTGTACTCAAACATTTATTTATATCGAATTTTGAGTCATTTGTAAAATGTCAATTACATTTACGACTCCCTCCATCATCAGCATTCATCGCAATGCTATCAACATGGTACTGATTGAGTTGGTCTCAATACAATATCAAAGATAAATCGCAGCCATTATTTGGTAGATTCCGTTGGCATTTATCAATCGAATGCGGTCATTATTTTCGTTCGAATCGATTTGAGGAAATTGCTAATTAGACTGTACGGAAATTTACATCCAAGTAAAAATGACCTGTATGTGTATGACACAAGGGAATGACCCTGAAATGATAAAACCTCTAATAAGCTTTATTCAAACGGATAAAAATGTTTGATAGAAGTAGAAGTTCAAACAATGCTCCAATTCATTTGGCTGCATTGGAGGGAAAAAAGAGATATGCGTCCTCATTGGTTTGCCTAATGTTCAGTGCTGTGGAAAAAAAGTATGTGAATAAGCATAGCAGTACACCGACAAACACATATGCCACTTTATAGTCAAGTTGAATCATTAATGTGTACACACACACACACATGGATTAAAGTTTAATCCGTGGCGCATATGCCTGACAGTGCTTAGTGTTTGTACTAAAGCTCGTTCGTTTAAAATGCACAGGAATGTGTGATTTCCTGCAACACACCATATTATAGCATATACATATGCATATGATTTTTTGTTTGCATCAAATATTTATGCAAAATCGAGTTTTGTGTCTTCACTTCGTCGCGCGCTGGCTCAGCAGGATTCATATAAAGTGGCTACTTATTTGATAAAATAAAAAAGCTTGTTATTCCTTTTCGTATGTGTGCTTTTTAATTCAGTTAAAATGCTTGGGCTTTTTTTAACAAAAAAAAATTGTTCCAGAAGAGTGATTTTCTGCATGCAAAAGGAAAGAAATAAATATACAAAAAAAACTTCTACTGAACAAGAATCGCAAACTACAAATTTCCTGATTTTCCACAGCTGCTAGACAATAAAACAATCATAGCGTTAAAAATTCATAGTCAGCACATTTTCTTGTCGACTCAAACTCGATGGTTGTTGCTACGAAATAAAAAAAATATCATATCCGTATGAGACAATTGTTGTTGGTGCTGCCATACATTTCGTGTTGATGTATGCGAAAGGAGCCGAACAAAGCACATACTACAAACATTTCGTACCATGATTCGCCACAAATTTCATTTTTAGTTATCATTTCGATCAGGAGGGAGCCGGTGTCATTTTCATATCGAAGCCGCCTCAAACAAAAACAATCAATACGAATACATTAAGTGGTGAAAGTCATATTGTACAAAAAAAATGACAACGGGCGATTTAAAATCCATTTTGAAAAAACCACCAATCGGGTAAACGTACTTATATTTTCTCTTCTTTAACGCTTTTCATTTATTACTTCTCTTGGCACATACTGTATATTTATACAAATGCGTTTGGTTTAATTGAAACTCAGGGGTTGTCTAAAATAGTGAAGAAAAAACAATGATCCATCAATCTGTAATATCATGAACATATTTTCGTAATGTTGCATTATAGTAGATAGTATGTGGTTCATAATATGAACCGCATATGTCAATATTAATGCATTTCCTGTTGGCTTTTCTCTGTGTAGGGGGATTATCGATCTGATGAGTTAAGCACTGAATTCAATACACGAAATACTAATAACACCAGTAAGCTAGAGTGGTGCTGTTTCGTTTTCCATTTGACATAATCCGTATTGCTACGTATTTGCAGAAGTCTTAACATTATTGTTAGTGTCAAAGTGTGTAGTGTATGTGTGTAGTAGTTTAGTATCGGTGTTCGATGTATGGAATAAATGTATTTATTGCATTGGAAATACCAACAATTGATATTATCGCGTTTATTGCATTTAATTACATTATTACCGGGCCGTAAAAGTGATTTAGTATTGAGCACACAAAAGGGTACACCGTTTAGATAACAAACTTCTTGACGGGTTGGTAAAAAAATTGCCCGTAAGATGTCATTGGTATTGTGTAATTTGGGATCATCGGGTCCCCGATCACGTGGCTCAAATCAATCATCTGATCAAAATTGTGTCAGTACGGGTATGGCACGAAATTCATCGTCGAGCGGTTTGCACACTTCATCGTCGGCATCTGCTTTGCATCGTAGCGCCGGAATTATGCGCAATTCACCATCGTCTTCAGCATTACAACAAACAACAGCCGGAAATGACAATAACAATAATAGTAACGCAAAATCAAATTACAACGAATCTGATGATCCAAATCAAGTTACAATTTACAGGTAAAAATCGATTTACATTCGACGATATGTTTTCATTTTGTTGTTCGAATGACTTTGCTTCGTTTCGGGATGCATTTTGTGTGTAAACGAATTTGAGCTCATAATATCCATCTATATGTGTAGGGCATAAAGGGTGAAACGAACATGGAAAAAAAGATGTGCATTTTATACATGTCCAATCCGAAGGGAATGTAATCCAAGCAGATTTTGTGACACATTGAACAGATTCACTTTGTTTTAAAAAGATTTGGCGAAAATTCTTGCATGTGACACCGAGTGCCATTCAGTTAACATAGCGTTATCTACAAATGACAACTTAATCGGATTTTCGACGACAATTTAATGCATCCCACTCTTTCTCTCTTTCATTCCTCCGGATAGTCTTATCACATTTTCTCATTTTACCTTTCTTTCTCTCTCTCTTTTTCAAATGGTCTTTTTTTGCAGGTGTCGAGCTCCAATCGCATCGCTTGATTGTATGGAAGAATTTAGCGGTACGGGCGGTCAACTTGATTTCGGTATTATGGCTTTTTTGCTTTTATTCCAAAAAAAAGAAGAGAAACAAAAAGAGAAAAAAACCACACATCCCGAAAATGTGTTGGATTGACATTTATTGGATCTTTTGCGTTATTATTCTGTACGAGGCGAAAAAAAATCGTTTTGCCAACGACCACTTCAACATTGTATTTACAATGTAAAATCATTGAAATGTGGACGGATCGTTGTCATCCAAATGATGTATGTTTAATTGAATTTCACGGAATGGGAAAAGTTTCGAGGAAAAAAGCCCATTACTATCAATCTGATTTTACACTGATAAATACATTGTTGTTAAAATGAAGCGCGTGAATGAGTTTTGTTTCGTTACGTTCTTTTTTTCCCTATAACTTTGAGTTTCAAAATCCACTTCACTTCAATGAACTATTATCGACTATTTTTTTCGGTTGCGAATTTATTTTAATTGCAATTGCAGCATTAACTGACATAAAAAAATAACTGTATATATTTGTGCTGTACTTAATTCCATTTAAATTTTCATTACTTTTGGATTGTTTGATATATACAATGAATAAGATTACGCAAAAAAATATTGCGGGAAACTTGTACGTATGTAACTCATTTTGCCAGAGAAATCGAATCAACAATATGATCAACAGTCTAGATTTCGAAAATCATTTATAAAAACACACTAATGTTTTTCATGTTCCTTATTTTCATATATTGGCCGCGGTTTTTCTTTGTTGAAAATTGACGTTGATTTTTGATCCAAATTTAAAAAAAAAGGTCGTTCGATAAGTTTGGGTTCGAATCAAGCATTGACAATACGTCAAGGAGCACCAACACCAGGTCTACGATACAAGAATTTGGGCAAAAGTGGTTTACGTGTATCAAACGTTGGCCTTGGCACTTGGCCAATATTCTCGCCAGGTGTACCCGAAGAACAATCCGAAGCCATTGTCAAACTTGCCTACGACAGCGGTATCAACATATTCGATATTTCCGAAGCACACTCTGGTTTGTAATAAATTAATTATTCATGGTCGCGTTGCGCATCAAGTCACACAAAATTGAAAAATTTGCCCATTTCATTGTTATTGGTTATTTTGTTGTTTTGTTTGTACAGAGGTTGAATTGGGAAAAATAATTCAAAAGCATGGATGGAAACGAGCTGGATACGTGGTCACAATAAAAATCTACTGGAGCATGAAGTCCGAAGAACGTGGTTTATCACGAAAGCACATCATCGAAAGCGTGAAGGCAAGCCTACAACGTTTGCAGTTGTCATATGTTGACATTGTGATTATATATAAAGCAGATCCAATGTGCCCCATGGAAGGTAAGTTTCACCTACACATATCCCGCTGTCTTGTTCTTTCTCTTTCTCTCTCTATCTCTTTTGTTGCTCTCTTCTCTAACAATGGTGTTCCATTTTATTTGCAAATTAAGTTGAGCTAGAAAATGGTGCCATTCCATTCAGAATAGTGTGTCATTGTTTGAAATTGTCGCACCATTGCAACAAAAGAAGAAAGGAAAATATTGATTAATACGAGCTTATATTTAAATGTATCTTGCACAGAGATTGTTCGTGCCATGACATATGTAATAAAAGAAGGCTGGACTATGTATTGGGGCACAAGTAGATGGTCACACTGTGAGGTAATTTCCATTCAATTTTTATTGAAAATGAAATTTGTCAATTTTTATGTGTATCGATATGTCTTTTATTCTTCTCATTGAATTCAGATAATGGAAGCGTATTCAAACTGTCGCCAATTCAATTGTATTCCGCCAATCTGCGAACAATCCGAATACCATATGTTTTGTCGTGAAAAGTGTGAATTGTACTTACCGGAAATGTACAATAAAATTGGCGTTGGTTTGATGGCATGGGGACCATTGAGCATGGCATTGGGTGATGCACAAAACGGTGAACGTTTACTATTCCCAAAGAATTCGTTCAAAACGAAAAGCCATAGCTATTCATGGACAGAAGATGAAATCAATAAAAATGTAAGTTGATTGTCAAATATAAAAACGAAACTTTATGGGCCATTTGGCGGAAGGAAAAAAGAAATAAAAAAAATGAATGTTGTGTGAATTGTGCCATTTTTACAGAGCTTGAATTGGTCGAAGGAACGGATTGACGAAACGCGTAAACAAAGTGACAAAGTGCGTGATTTATGTTTGTTGGCAGAAAAATTGGGATGCAGCCCAACGCAATTGTCGATTGCTTGGACATTGAAACATGAACCCGTTCAGTGTCTTTTGGTCGGTGCTACAACCGTTGAACAACTCCATCAAAATTTGCAAGCATTGCAGGTAAAATTCACATGTTCATTCATCGCTTTGTATTCAAAAAAAAAAAAAAAAAATGTTAACAAATGTATTGCTTTTCTCTTTGCAGTTGTTGCCGCGATTATCGTCGAGTGTGATGCTTGAATTGGAGCGAATATTGGATAATAAACCTATACGACCGCCGCCAATATCAACGTTGGCGCTTCGGTGACAATCAGCCTGTCCCACAGTGGCAGGTCCTCTGCCCTGTGGGACGGATACGCCGAAAGATGAAAATATTAGTTTGTGTGAAGATTCAAAGGATGCTACGTCCAAGGTGGCTTTTTGTGAAATACAGTGACAAAAGGAGGCCTTAGACAACGATAACAAATTTTCAAAGACCACCGTGTCAAAGAGTCCCGATGTGATGCATTTGACCGGTGGCAATTCGAATACTTTTAATCCGATTGCACCAACTAATAATTCTTCTCCCAATAATTGTTCTTCTTCAATTGTTAATAGTAAAAAGCATTCAAATTCCAGTTTATTTGCTCAACACATAGATAGCTCAAGAAATATCAGTAAAAATTCGCTACGCTTAGATATTACTAGTAAAACATGCGATGCACTTAGCGATGTTGCACAACAGCACCAGCCACAACAGCAAAATGTCAATGCAATGATTGATGATGAAAATGCCGAATCAACTTTGTCACCAAAATGCGATGCAACAAGTTCACAACAATCAAAAAAGTCGGTGAAACGGAACTTTAGCATGATTAGTTTCAAATCGCTTGACTTTAATCTTCGATCGATTTGTTCAAGCATGAAAGTAAAGAATGCCGGTAAAGAAACGAATAGTAGTGGATCCGGTAAATCGACAAACGTCCCAACTGCATCGAGCAGTAAAACAAGCATTACAACCACAACCCGTGCACCGTATCTCAAAGTTGAAATTGTCGATAATGATGTCGACGAAGAGCATTTGTTGATTTCATTTCCACAATCGCCATACTCGCATCGCGGAAGTTTTGATAAAACACAATCACAGCACTTAACCACAATTCAATCCGATTATTCACGTTCACAAGCGAGTTCACCGTTTTTATCGATTACCACACCGCCCAATATTCGACGCTCTTCGACATCCGATATTATTGATAAAAAACCAGGAATGCCATCCACAAATGCTACACCAATCGATAGCCGCCGACCAAGCACATCGAGTCTTTTGCGACGTGCCCGCGAACGTAAAGGCAGTGAAACCAAAGGAGGTAAGCAATCCAAATCGCAACTACATTCATAGTACCAATAAATTAATTCAAACATTTCTGTTAATTCTTTGAACAAAACGCAGCTACGAATCACAACATGGGTGCCCGAAGTTTATCGCATGGTGGACTACCACGAGGTGGCGGACGAATGGGAAGAAGAACAAGCATGGCCTTTTAAATTGCATTTCGATCGCCATGTCTCCGAACTCAAACGTACACATTTTACGGAATTTTTGAGCAATCTTTGGAATCATTCAATTAGCTTATAAAAAAAATGACATACACAAAAAAAACATACAGAAGAAAAAAAACTCGCGCTGCAATACGATTTTATGAGTATACTAAAGCGATTTGATTAAATTCAGACAACTAACCAAATACAATACATCAGCCTAATATATTTACATATGTACCTTACAACAAAAACTAACTTTTAACAAACAAAACTACTTACGTCTGATAGCAAGAAAAAAGAAGACGGCAGAATAGTAGAAGAAGAAGCAGATAGAATTTGCGAATTAAAATCCAACCAAACTAAATGGCATACACATATAGATTTTTTCCAAATTTGTTAAGCTAAACCAAATAATACAAACAAAAAGCCTATGCGTGAAGAAATAAAACCTTACCGTTCGTCGCCAAATAACTCACTACAATACAATTTTTAAATCAAGAATTTTTTTCAGCAAATTTTCACTGATTAACTATTAAACATAGATAATACCAATTTGATGAATTTAGAAAGAATAAATGACAGTCGGTAGTCTCTTGCATCTGAGGTTGAATTTTTCAAGTTTCGGTTTCATTCTAAATGATTTGATGTGAAACGAGCAACGAATTCAGAATATTTATATATTTTAGACTGATAACCTCAATTTCTCTCTCACGATTTTTTTCTCTTTATCTATAGATATCTCGTTCTCTATAAACTCCGTCGATCGAATTAGGTCTCTTTTCCTAATGAAATGACTCTAGTATATTTAGCGTATTATTTTGATTTGGTTTGCCTTTTTGAACTATTACCATTAGTTCGTTCGTTACATTATGAATATGTGAATGACTGTGATCTCGCATCTCTATGACAGAAGGGAGTCTATTCAAAGAAGAAATGACAAACAACTGTATCAATTGTTTCAATTCTAGCTAATTATTAAAAAAAAAATATGGAATCTAATCACTTTATTAATTTTAGATTAGGATGGGAATTGAATTTTAGGTAGCACAAATTATATCAAAGCAAACAAAAGATATTCAATTAAAATATCTTAAAAAAATCTATTTTCACGAACAATAATTTCGTATTCGATATGTGTTCTGACTCTTTAGACTCTTCTATATAATGTTATTGAATAATTTATCAAAAAACAAAAAACAAAAAGGACATCGTTTGATCTATATAACTGTTTCTGTTCGAAAATGTGTATACATTAGGTATATTTTATCCAAGCGTTCAGAAAGACATACATTTATGCGAGCAATTGAATGATGCTTGCATCATTTGATGCGCACCGCTAGTGCTTTCGTTGTGCGTTCGGAGCACTTCGTGTGCTGCCGAAGATCCGAATGTATGGCGACAGCACAATCGATGCGCATCAAATGATGCAAGCATCATTCAATTGCTCGCATAAATGTATGTCTTTCTGAACGCTTGATTTTATCTATCATTCTAATTAGATGAATTCTGTAATGGAATAATTGGCAATATTCTCTTTAATCAAAACTCCTACTCTTTTAATTCAGGTACTAAATGAACAACCAATATAAATATGTATGGAAACGGGAATAGAACTATGAATAGCAATGAATTTTTAAGATGAAAAGCAATCAAGATTCTTAGTTTTTTTCTAATTTTGTGTTTGTCCATTTAACATAACCGTCGGAATTTATGTTTGTAGAATGACGCAAAGCACATAATGCAAGTAGACAACGCAATTTAAAGCGATCTTTTCATAGATGAGAATACATCATAATATTTGTTTCGAATAGACTTTTAAACAAATGCATACAAAATAGCGACATTTCTTATTATCACAAATTGTCTTGATTCGCATTTTAGAGGAAAAACAAAACCAAATCATGTACGAATAGAAAAATTTCAATAAAGTTGTCAAATTCAAACTTCAATGAACAATTTATTATTTTGTACGCCATTTTCCTTTTCAGTTTGCCGTTTTTTCAGAGAAAATACAACCCAAAATAAGGTTATTGTACATGTATTGTCTTAGTGGGTAAGTATTGAATTCATTAGACAATGCGTTTGAATAGATTCGTTGGCAATGAACTCATTTGTCTTGAACACAACAATAAATCCTTTGTGAAGATCACCTCATCAAGCTCCAAAATTAAAATAAAAACAGAAAATTTTTATTTAAGAAAATGTCATTTATCATGTCTTTTATCGAATGGCGCGCATTTTTCCCTTTCGAATGACTCCACACAATGTTATTTTACGATATTCGCTTTGACATCAAAATATGCGTATATGTGTTATTGCTTAGCGATGCTTATTATTGTCGCCACTGTGTGTTTCATGATTGTGTGCATCAGAGAACATGAAATTTAAAAAAATGAAAAAACTCATTGTTTCTTTTCGCAACAACAATAGTGTTTCAAAATTTGGTTACAATCTATGCCTGTGCAAATATTATGAATTTTTAAATTGGTTAAAGAAAAGCATGCGATCAATTTTATTTAACACATCTCAGATACGTAACAAGCGCATGTTCCCCTCTGAAAGTGTCACAGAAGAAATGTGATAAACTCTCCTTCCAAACAATACCGTTAACATTGATTTGTCGATCTCGCCGGCGAGGTGGTTTTTTTGTGCACTAAGAGAATTCATATGACGACAGTAATCGAATGAGAAACAGCATTTGAATGTATTTGAAGCAGCCAAGTATGGCGAATATGCGCATACATACTAACGTGTCGCCTGATACAGAGATTGTTTGAGTGTTTGTGTAATGTACAATGTGTATGTACCAATCAAAGCATCCACATTTTCTGGCTTGCTAACGATAGACAGACAGTGTGGTTTAACATTTACTTTGGAACGTTTAAACAGTACACTTGGCATCGTGCATTCATCAAGAAACATACAGCCGTTTAGTTTCGGTAGGAAATTGATGACTTTGTGTTTTTTCGAACATTTTTTTCCATTTTCAAATTTGTGTTCCTATTAAAAAGTGAACAAAGAATCGTTTGAACAAGTTTAAATTTTGCAAAAAAAAATTCAATTTTTGGTCGTTCTCCAATTGAAGTCTGTCGAAAATGTGTTTATAAATCAATTTATACAGTCTCAAACTCATTCATTTCAAATTCG